ATGGAATGAGATTTGAGAAAAGTTAAATTAAAGGCTCTGCAGATAATTGGAGAATATCAGCTGCCAAGATGTTCTTAATCTACTTCCTTTCCATCTTCTGGGATGCAGTTTATTATTATTATTATTTTTGAGGTAGCATCTTCCTGTGTTGGAAAGGTGGGTTCTCAACATGCAATACCCCTGCCTTAGTCCCTGAGTAGCTCGGATTATAGGCATTCACCACCATCCCTGGTAGTCTTTAGCTGATCTTCATGGCTAATCATACAGTTTTCAAACTTAAAGAAATCTGAACAGGTGTGGTGCATAGCTGTAATCCCAGCACTAAGGAGGTCAAGGCAGAGGACTGCAAGATCCAGGCCAGTGAAGGCAACATGGTGAGTTCAAGGCCAGACTGGGCTTCACTGGGAGACCCTGCCTCAAAAATTTCTTTTTAAATAAGTATTTTCCTGAGTCTAACTTTGAACTTCTTTTAAAAATGAACACAGTGCTGGGGATTTAGCTCAGTGTCTCCACACCCGCCTTGCAAGCACAAGGTCCTGAGTTCGATCCCTGAACTCAGACTACATAGTGTATCATGCTTTGTGCAGAAACTGCACACAAAATGAATCAAATTTCTTCCCATTGAAGTTGAGGATACTTTCATTTATGTTAAAGATAATAAGTATATTAAGATTAAACTCAGTCTGTTGGAATTTAGGGGAAAATCTTGAAGATTTCAGATATATTTCCCAGAGTTGATTTTCACAGTATAACTTTCATTATCACATAGCAGTACCTGGAAACAATAATGAAATTTCTTGTCTAGAATTTGCAGTGGGTCCATATGTGCTGATTCTTTGTAATATTTTAAGTGGAAATGTACCAAAACTGAATATTTCAGGGTTAATTTATCAGAAACCTGAAAGTGAGCTGAAGGAGGTGAGAGATTTTACAAGAAAAGCAGATAAAACAAAATTTTAGAGATGCATAAGAAGGGTTATATTTTTGTGTATGTAATGTACGTTTTGAGAGAGAGGCAGATAGAAGCAAGTGAGAGAGAAGCAACGCTTCAGACTTTGAGATTCAAACTGTTTTCAAATTTGTGTGCTGCAAATATTCTTTATTGTAAAAAATGCTTCCAGGCAAGGGCCGATGTTGATGTGTATTTTTCTGGTTATTATAACCCTTGTCTTCACCTATGATACGTTAGATTATCTTGGAATGCTAATGCTTGGTATAGCCCAGGAAAAATACTCAGAAAGTACTTATAAAGTAAATAAGCTTTAATTAAATATCATTGTCAAGCATTAATCATTATAGCACTGCTCCCTATGGAAATAAGGGTGGATATTCAATTTGTTTTGATTATGTATGAGTTTTAGCGGAAGCCTTGTTGATCTGTTGCTGCATTATGCAGTCCTTGCAGGGCTTCGTCCAAGAGTCCTCTGCTTGGATCTGAAGGAGGACCCGTCAATTTTTACTGCATACCATGCAGTGATCAATATTTTGGAAAGCACCCTTATCAGACGAAGAAGGGGCTGTGGTTCCTCAAGTGTGGGTTCTCAGAGTTTTATCCTAAGCAATGAGATTGGAAAATTTTCATCGGGATGTGAAAGACACACAAACACATTGCTAATTGTCTTTGGCAGCAGGAATCTTTTTCGGGGAATTCCTGCTACCTGAAATGCCTAGGTGTTATTTTTAGTTGAAACTATCAATCATGTTCAGATCTCCCCAGCAAATAGCATTTGGAATGCACTTTTAGAATATTACTAGTTTTTGTTTTGTTTTTGTCGCTCTTCTCCCTTGCAAGAGTACCTCCTAAGAAACATTCTGTGCTGAGTAAACTCTTGAAGTCTACTGATACTGGAAAGGAGCGTAAAGTGCATTTATTAAGCTCCTACTATGTGCCAAGCTTTTTGTTGGCATGACCCCTGCCAAAGGTGACAGCAAGGTGGAAAGTAATTTAGGACTTTCCATTTCACAGAGCAAACACCAAAGACAGCAGGTCATGTAGCTTGTGGGTGAGGGGTGTGGGGTGGAAACCCGAGTGTGAGCGTCTTGCTCTAAGCCAGTACCCTTTCCGCTTAAACATTTGCCTTCTTTTACAACAAAGTTCCATTTTAAAAACAATTGTTGCTAACTCACTGCTTAGCTAAGGCAAAGAAATGATGGAAAACAATTTAAATTTGGTTAAACAACTGAAACCCATCAAAGGAAACAGAGATTTCTCCAGCCTGCTGGGACAAAGCACTTCAGGGAGCTTCTCCCTCTGTCTCTCGCAAGTCCACTTCCCTCCAGGGCTCAGGAGGGCTCCTGATAGGGAGGAGCCCTGTCCATGCTGAAAACAGGTGGACGGGGACACAGATGAGCAAAGGTGGTCCCTCCCTGAGAGCTGGGGAAGGTGGGCACATGCTTTCTCCATGCACTCCATCTTCAGGATTCACCACGTGATGAGAACTCTGTGTGTGACGGCTTGACATTGTCACTGTGTTCAACGCCAAGTGAAGAAAGTAGATGGGTCGGGAGAAGATGACAATTAGATGTAAACCAGGCCTTCAGAGTGAAGGCGAATGGCAGCTATGGGGTCCACTGAGGCTGCTGGGAGGTTGGGGTGATATAAAGCAGACCTCCTGTAAGAGAGGGGCCTAGGAATGGGTCAGTTAAAGTAAGAACCACAATGGCAGGTAGGAGAGAGATTATTTGAAGTGGTTTGGGAAGCTACCCATAGTTCTGAAAAGCTGAGAATAGATAAAAGAGGTTGAGGTGCAAGAGGTAAGAGGAAGAGGTACTCAGCTCTCCACAGTAGCCCTTGCTGGGGGCTTTGGTTCTACTTTGGAGCTTCTGGGGTCCCATTGAAGCAATTGGGCCCCGGGGAGGGCTGTGTTCAGTGGACCCTCTTGGCTTTATCATGCCACAGGGAATTGGGTGGGATAAATTAGAGGGAGCTGAGATGGAGTAAATTGTGGTCTCCCTCAAATTCATATGGTGAATTGTATTCTGAATCTCTAGTTTTTCAGAACCTTATGGGAGACAGAATCTTTAACGAAATAATTAAGTTAAAAAAGATGCCATTAGGGTGGGCTCTAATCCAATATTCCCGTTGTCCTTATAGGATGAGATTAGGGTCTAAATAACATGCAAACTGAAGGGTGAGCGTGTGGAAACACAGCTCGACCGCAGCTATCTGCAATCCAAGAAGAGGGACCTCAGAAGAACCCTGACCTGCTGACATCTGACCTTGGACTTCCAGCCTCTGGAATGGTGAAATAATAAAGCTCTGCTGTTTAAGCCACCCAGTGGGTGGTACTTTGTTATGGTTGCAAGACAAATACTAGGATCAATCAGAGTCTGGGGCCAGAAGGACTGGACTGTAGGAGTCCAGATGAGGGGACAGGAAGGAAGAAGAGATGTAAGCTGTGAAGATGACAGGAGGGTTGTGGCCTGGGCGTCTGGGTGGAGAGGAGGAAAGCAGGAAGTTTGGGGTGATGCCCGTTTGGGGGAGGGCCGACTGGGTGCCCCATTCAAAGGAGGCAGAATCATGGGATGATGGGGGAGGTGCCTGGGGGAAGGCAAGCAATAGGAGGGTGGGGTCCCATGGGAGGAGGAGGAGGAGGAGGAGGAGGGGACGAGGATGCTGTTGATCCTGGGCCCTGGTTCCCTCTGAGAGTCACCCCTGGGTCTTGCTCATCCATTCCCAGTGGCTGGCCCACGGTGAGAGACATGAATGGCCCGAGTCCCTGAGCCCGCAGTGCTTCTGCCCCTCCACCCACCCCCTTCCCTATCTCATCTGCTGGGAGCTGGGGTGTCGTGGGCCACACTGGAGCTGAGGCAGGACCAGCATGGTCCCGCCGTGTTTATGCCCTGACCACCTCATAACTCCTCCCACTCTGGGAATTATTTTTCTCTATCATTTTTCCTTATTTCAACAACAACAATAAAGCCCGGCCTAGACTTCAGATATATTCCTTTGGTGTTTTCACTGGGCTCAGCCCCTCATTAACTGAGCGTGGAATTAAATAGATGGCCAGAATTTCCCCACATTGTCCTAAGTGGTGGTTGATTATAGTCACTCCTTTTAAACCAAACCAGAATGGTCTTGAACTTGGTTTTCCAATTCTTTCCAAGGAGATCTTGACTGTTTTCTCTGCTGGGTTCTGGGCACACTTTGAAAGCCCTGTATAGGGTCCTTCATCTCATTTCTGGGTAAATGGCTGCTTTTCATCTTTCTCTGTCCAAGGACAGGGACCACATCTTTCTTCAGCTTACCTTCTTTGTAGGGAGAGAAGCCTTCAGAGCACATCTGCTTTATTGAGTAGATGTAAATCCAACCAAGGGGAAGTCACGTTTTCACACCTGCAGAGAGCATTCCATATGGTGCTTTGCTTCCATTGTTAGTCGCTCGTTGACTCATTCTGGCTGAGTGTGTGCTGGGGCCAGGCCCAGTAAAGTGAAGACGAAGCTGAAGGTCACACAGTCCCTGCCTACAACCAGCTTCTGGTCTAGATGCCGATGATGTGAAAATGCACAGCTACTGTGTTTTCTCCTGTTGGTGATGATGCCGAGGATCTTTTTCTTCTCTTTAATTCTCATCTCTGATGGAGAAGGCATTCCAGATATTTCCTCCTTCTAGATATACCCCCAAATTGGAAAATAAAAGCAGCAGCTGCCAAACTGTTCATGAAGCATTTGTTTGTGCTCTGAGATTTTCCAAGCACCGAGCGCGGGTATCAGTCAGCTTGGGATGCTGTAACAAAATGCCACTGGTTGGGTGGCCTAAAGCACAGGTCCTCATCTTATACTTCCCCAGGCCGGTGGCCCATGACCGAGGTGCTGGGAGCTTTGGTTTCTGGTGAGGCCTTGGCTCCTGGCTGGTGAACACTATCTTCTTGCTGTACCCTCACCCGGCCTTTCTTCTGTGTACCCGATGCTTCTTTCTTCTCAGAAGGACCCCAGTCAGTCCTAATGGACCAGGGTTCTGTTTTATGACCTCATTTAAGCTTGCTACTTCCTTATTGGTCTCATCTCCAAATAATCACTGAGGGTGAGGACCTCGACACATGGATTTGGGGGAGGGGACAGTTGAGGCACTCAGTGTGTTCTTTGCTTGCCCTCAAAATGACCTTGGAGGTGGGGCCTGTTGCCCTGTCCCTTCCTGAGTCTACGTGCAGCTCCCCAGAGCTCTTGGGACTGCAGCTGAGCTTCCGACCCAGACTCTGAGGCTGAGATCGTTAACTCTTCCTCCCTGCTGAGTGCTGGGGTGGGGGTGGGATGCTAGTCAATGGGCCATGGCTGAAAGTTTGCAACATCTTTTGCCTATTACTATGTATTTTGTTTAATCAAATGTAATGAGGTTTGTGGAAACACTAAACTGAAGTTATTTTCAAGTAGGAACTGTATTTAGCACCGTTAATTGAATCAGTCTAGTTACTTAGAATGGAACAGTGGCTGTTTGCCCTGTAATAAGGAAATTGAGTTTCTCATAAAGCAGCTAATTCCTGTCCTGTCACACTGTAGAACACACCACGAGCTGAACAGCCAGAGTCCTCTGCAGCCTAGTGTCAACCCTTCCCTGGGCTGTCATGTGGCTTCGGGCAGGCTGTGACATTTGTATTATCTTCGGGTCTGCTCAGAATGAAGAGAGAGCGGGGGGGCCCCAGCTACAGAGTGGGGTGCTAAGTATGATCACGTGGAGTCCCCCCAGGATTTGTTAGCAGTGGGCTATCGTCCTCATTGTACAAATGAGGAACCAAGTCCCAAGGGGCTAAGTCACACAATGAGTGAGCCTGGGGGAACTCTATGTAGTACCTTTCACCTCATCAAGGCCCGTCCCCTCTTCTTATAACTACGCCCCGATGTAACTCTAGGGAACTGTGATAGAGTAAAAATGGTTGTGAATCCTCATCTCTCCTCCTCTTGAGACAGAGTCTAAGTCCTCCAGCCTTAAACTGGCTGGCTTTAGAGACTTGGTCCGTCTCCAGAGTGCAGGGGAGGTGAGGCTCCGGGCTTGTGCAACTGGGTCGCTGGTCTTGTCGCTTCTGCCCTGCTCTGGTGGAGCCCTTGCCCTTGTAATGCAGGTGCCACACTGCATCCTCTGAAGGACAGGGTGCTGTGTCCTCACATGCACAAGGCTGGTGACCAAAAGGGTGCTACTGTTCCCATCAGGCCCTTCTCTAGGGCGCCCACTCCCATTTGGAGGGGCTTGGTCCTCAGGACTCAGTCACCTCCCCAAGGCCCTGGCTCCCAGAACTATCCCACTGGGGATTCAGTTTCAATGTGAACTTGAAAGGGACACTGTCATTCAGACAGCAGGAGTGTCACAGCTTCCCTTACTGGTTGTGTTGGGTGCATTTCTGAAGCTTTAGATTCATGCAATGTCCCATACCCGCCCCTGGGAAATAAGGCCAATGAGAAAGACTCTGGTCCTGACTATAAATGACTCCCGGTACACCTGTGCTCCCTGTCACCCCTCTGCAGGGCCCGGGTTTCCTCTCATTAGCAGATCAGTTCCACAGATCTGAAGAATGCCCCCTATTCCTTTAGTGTGCTCCCTCCCCACAACCCTAGTGCCATGCAAGTTCCCTCTGTGAGCTCCAGGAATATCTGGCGGTGTGGCCTTGGCTAAGTTGTGTCATTCCTCTGGGCTGTGTCTCGTGCACACAGTTGGTGTGACCATGCCCCCGAGGTTACTGGGAAGAACCAGATCGTTGCAGGTGTTGACTAAACTGGTTCTCTTCTGCTGCTCCTTCCTTCCGCAAGGATGTCCCAAGCCACGAAGCCCAGGGATCACAGCCCACCGGTAAGTCCTGGCTGCTGGAGTTGGTTCCTGACGCTCTTCCTCACCCCATCTCGATCTTTTCATCCAGCCCCTGTGTCTGGCCCGCCCAGGATGCTCCTGGCTCTTCCCAGCACACTTCTCAGTGCTTCCAACCTCGATACCTCGCTAGTTTTCTTTTTCTTTTTTCTTTGTTTGGTACTGGGGATCGAACTCCTTGCGCTTGCAGGGCAGGCGGCGGAACCAATGAGCTAAATCCCCAGCCTCTCCTCACTAGTTTTCTATTGCTGCAGTAACAGATGAACACCCTTGGTGACCTCAAATAATGCAGATGAAGAATCTCCCAGTTTTGTAGATCAGAAGATGTTAGCTAGCCAGGGTGTCACTGAGCTCAAACCAAGGCACCTGCGGCTGTGTCCTTCTCCAGCTGCTTCAGGGGAGGATCTAGCTCATTCTTGAGGTGGGAAATTACAGCTTTGTGCAGCTGCAGGACTGAGGTCCCTCTTCCCTTGCTGGTTCTCGGCTGAAGGCCACTCCATCTTCAAAGCCAGCAGCGGTTGATGGAGTCCACCTCATGATTCCAGTCACGCTTCCTCTTCTGGTGTCGTTACATTTGAGAGACCTTCTGCCTTCCTCTTCTACACGTAAGGGTCACTGTGATTACACAGGGGCCACCTAGCTATTCCAGGGTGATCCTTCCCTTTTAAGGTCCACAACCTTAATCTCATCAACAGAGTTCCTTGCCCTGGCAATGCTGTCTCTCTCAGGTTCTAGGGATTAAGATTCAGTGGATGTGGGGTCATTCTCCTACATGCCCCCCCCCCAACATAGGGCCTTCACACAGTCTATTCCCTCTTTCTGGATTGCCACTCTCCATCACCTGCTGGAAGGACTCTTGTCCCTTCGGTAGGGCTTTTCAGAAGTCCCCTTCCTCTCTGCAGTCAAGCTGCTGACCCCAGTACCCACACCTGACCTTTGCACTGTCCCCTGGCAGACGTGGCTTGCAGAACCATCCGGGCAGCTCCCTGGGCTTCTGCAAAGTCCATCCCTCTGCAATGAGTGGTTTCCATGCAGTCTTCTTGGCTAAAACAGAAGGCCATGCACACAGTAAGTGCTCAATACATAGTGCCAAGCGAGAGTCTGAGAGAAGGACTGCGTTGACTCCTTGCTTCTCACCGGGGGATTTGGCCTGGGTCCTGTCTCACAGGACTGCACTGTTCCAAGCTGGCTTTTGTTGGCCTGCTGGGTCCCCAGTGGACGTGTCTGGGATTTGCATGAGCGATAGGCAGGGTAAAAGCTGTGGACCCTGAAACCTGTGGCTTTCCCATTTCGGAGAAGGATGGCCTTGGCTGAGTGTGTTACTGAGGCCCCAGTGCCCTGGTAGGAAAGGGATCCTAAGAGTTTATCTATGGATGCTTTGAGTCTCCAGCTAACTTGTAGTGCCTGAACAAAGCCACCCTTTGATCCATGGCAGTGACATTCTCCTTGTTCATAGTTCAGAGTGACACAGACCTTGGGTACACATCCAGTTTGTCCCCAAAACAAACTTCCTGGCTCCTCGATGATAGAGCTTCCATTTCTCCTCTAACATTCCCTGAATGGCCTGAGATGGGATATCACTCTTAAATGGTTCCAAGGGCTACTTCTCTCCCCTAGAACTTAGGCATGGAGGCCAGAAGAGAGGAGCGTAGGGCTGCTGGTGAGTGTTCCGGGTGAGAACTCCCAGGGCAGGAGGCATGGACATCACAGCAAGTGCCACACCTTGGCAGGGCATCTGCTAGCAGCCTGGAGTCCTCAGCACACCATGTGGAAGGATGGGGTGGCCCCACCTCCAACCGTGGGCTTCTCTGACATGTGCCAATCCGAATACATCTGAATCCTTGGTTGGGCAGGAACGGGAAGTAGATAGCAGAGCTTTGGCAACCCAAGATGCTGGAATTCATTGGTATTTAAAAACACTTCCCTGCCCTTTTTTATTATACAGTGTAACATTTAAAGACTCCAAAATCACTACTTATTAGTACAATGTGACCAGGAGCGCTTCGAAGTCGTGTTGGAAAGAGACTGCCTTAGGAAACAGCACTCAGAGCAGGTGCATGGTGCAAACGGGATTCTTCACGGACATTTGGAGCCCGTTTTCACAGTGAGTGCTGCAGGCCAGTGGCCAGGACGCTACTCTGCAGGACCTCCGGGTCCTTGGAGCATTTGGCTGTGAATCTCTCTGATCTTTCTTCAGGGTGTGGGTTTGCACGTCTGGTGCCCCCTATTTTGCTGTAAGAGAGTGGGTCTGCCTCATCCTGCAGCATCGCGGTGCCTGGCTTAGGTCTAACATGTAGTCGGTGCTTTAAGTGTACTGAATGAGCTAACCTGGAGAACTGGGATTCTTTCTTTAACATCTTACTTGATTCTAAATAAAACGTCTCAGAAATCCATGAAGCAAGACAGAGCATAAACTTCTACAACCTTTTTGCTTCCTAAACGAGCACAACCACATCATGAAACATTTTGAAAACCCGAGGCAAGAACAGAGCATGCGCCTGTAGTGCCACAGGCTGCTGGAGGGTCACCTGCTTCCCCCGGCCCTCTGCTGTGTACACAGTGTCAGGGAATGCTGCAGCGCCTGCTTCTGGGGGGCGCTCGCGGTCCCCTTATCTCGGTGGCATTGAGGTTTGGACTTGGAGGTGATGCTCACGGCGAGCAGGATCTTTGAGAGTTCTGGGTGTGCGGTGTAAATGTGGCAGCCCATGAGGCAGAGGGAGGATTTCCTGTCTGAGCCTCAGCGTGGGGCCCCGAAAAGGGGAGCAGGGAACCGTCAGGGCACTGACATGACCCCGGGGGACACGTGCACAGAAGCGGGGAGCAAAACAACATAAAATGAGAGCCAAGAAAACACAAATGTCAAGGGGGAGGAACAGAAAGATTCCAAGTGCGAGGTGGCTCTCATGGTGAATAACGGCTCCCAGACTTTCCTTTCATGCTCTTTGTTAATTCTATTTCTCCCTCCTCATCTTTCCTCTCATTAAGATTTTTAAGCATGGTGTGATGCATGGTACACGGCCTGCAAGTCCAGCACTCTAGATGGATCACAAGTTCAAGCCAAGCTTGGGCAACTTAGTGACTTAGTGAGAGCCTGTCTCAAAATAAAAATAGATAAAAAGGGCTGGGGATGCAGCCCAGTGCAATGGCCCTTGGTTTAATCCTCAATACTGAAAGAAACAAGAAAATATTTTTACCTACATCTTTTCCCCCCTTAACTTTCTAGTTTGAAAAGAACCAAAGTAGTGATTGTTTGGCCAGAAGAAAAATGTGGGAAGCTTTTGTTTCTAAAGTTGTGCTCTGTGGCTTTACAACGTGCTTCTCTTGAGAAGCATCTATTCTAATCATTCCCCATTTTTTTGTTTTTTGGCACCAGGGATAGAACTCAGGACCCTGCGCTTGCGAGGCAGATGGTGGGCAGCACCCCTGAGCTAAATCCTCGGCTCCCATTCCCCATATTTAAATTGGATTGCTCATACTTTTATTAAGGGTTTTGAATTTTTTATATTATCTGGATATTAACTCTCTGTCCAATGAGTAGTTGGAAAATATTTTCACCCATCCTATAGGCTGGCTCTTCACTCTGTTGGCTGTTTCCTTTGATGGACAGAAGCATTTTGGGTTGGCTGTGCTCCCATTTATCTACTTATGCTTTTCATTCCTGTGCTTTTGGGGTTGTATCCAAAGAACCACAGCCTGTACCCATGTCTTGAAGTCTTTCCCCAGTTTTCTTCTAGTAGTTTCAGAGTTTCAGAGCTGACATTTGGGTCTTGGGCCCATTTTGAGTTGAGTTTTGTACAGGATAAGAGATGGAAGTCAACTGAAGATTTCGCATGTGAATTTTGTGTGCATGAAATGAAATATCACACTGGATCCCATTAATCTACATAACTAACACATGTCCATCAAAATGCAATAAAAATAAAAATTTAAAATTGTGTTTGCCTTACTAAATAATGGGAAGACTATTGGATGCTACACGGTAAGATTGGAGAAGAAACTTTTAAAAGGCATTTTACATGGGAGCTGCTGAGGAAGGGTAGGGATAATCAATTCATCTAGGCATCCATCAGTCAATGAATCAATCAGCCTCAAGTTCAATGCTCGTGGGCTGGTACAGAATGTTCTTCTAATTGGATTTCAAATGCCGTGAATGGCTGATTCTGAGTCTTAGTATTTTTCTCTTTAAAAATAAAATCTCAGCTGGGCTTTGTGGTGTGCACCTGTAATCTCAGCACTCATGGAGGACTCTAGGCTAAAGACCCTCTGCTAAAAATCTACTTGCTTCGATGAAAAGGTCTGTGATGCTGGAAGCTGCCTAATTCTATAATGTGGTGGATATAGAACAGCCTACCATTGTGGAATTGTGTTAGTGATCATACTTGGGGACATCTTAGAAGATCAAATTTGACAATGTTGGCTAAGCTTTTGGGATGCCCCGTAAGAGTCTGCTTGGTGTTTGGGTATTAAATACAGGAGTGGGCTGGAAAAAGGCTCTTTGTGACATGGACTCTCCACCAGACCCATACTAGATTCCGGATGTGACTGACATTGCTGTTTGCTTTGGAGTGAGGCATTAGGTGCTCCTGTTTATCTGGTCCTCTCACCCCGAGATCCTTTTGGCTTCTCCATTTGGTGACAGAAACTTCAGCATGGTAGAGGTGTACATGGTGTAGCCAAGGGTACCCACAGGCTTTGTAAACATGCCCTATGATTTTCACTGAGTTGCCCACTAGCTGGTTGACCTTGGTCAAGTATTTTGATGGGCCTTGTTATTTATTCCCCCAGATCTGGAGATAACAGGGTCAAAGTCCTGCTGACTTGTCCCAAGGATTAGAAAAATGGACTGTGTGTAGTCCTGGTGCAGTATACACACTAGGGCACTGTAGCCAAATCAGAATCTAACACTGAGAAGATGAAGGTTAGCTATTAAGTCCTTACGTGACTGGCTGGAGGTCTCTTAAATTCATATTTACTTGGGCAAGTTACTCTACTATGGATGTAAAGTGCTTAAAACAGAACCTGACACATGATTAGAATTCAATAAATATTGAGTGCCATTATTATTTCCATTGTTATTGTTGCCCTTGCCTTAATTCAGAGAACATTTCATGCCTGCCTTAAAGCAAAGGAACCAAATGGCAGTGTAAGAGGGAGTTGTAGAATTCTTTTTCTTTGGGAAGTGCCATTAAAGATGCCATTGACAGTATTGGCAGCTTCATTAAGGAGTCTGTTGATGATGGTAATAAGGCTGGCACATTTGGGATTCAGATTGACGCTTCTCAAGACAGTGGCAGAACTGGGGCTGGTGCGGCAATGCCAGGATGCGGCTCGGGATCTGGGAAGGGCTGGGTGCCCAAGAGAGTGCAGTCTGGTTGGAGAAGCCACCGCCTGGGATGAAACCTGCACTGCGGCCTGCTTAGAGAGTTCCTTTCTGCCTGTGACTGCAGAGCTCAGTTTCCCCACTGCTATTACTCTCTGTCGTAGCTGAGGGAGGGAGGTCAGCCATGCATTGAGCTTGGACAGCCAAGCTCTGGAGCCTTAGGGTCTCTATGGTCACTGCAGCTAACATAGGAGCAACCAAAAACAGAGGCTTGAGTGCCAGGGGTCAACCAATAGCCAATCTGTGCTTTAGAGAGATGACACCGCAGATGGGCAGAAAGAACAAGTAGAGGGAGGGAGACTGGAGAAGCTTTGCAAGAACCCTGGCAAAGGACGCCTGGAGTGATGGACAGCAGGGGTGGAGAGGGCAAGGGAGACAGGTATAGCCACCCCCAGAGCACAAAGCTCCCTGCTCGCCAATGATACCCAGCATTACACGCGGACTCGAAGACCAGAGAAGAAGCCAGCGGGGCTGGGTGAACCAGATGTGGGATGAGGGGCACTGTGCAAATCCAGGTTCCCCGACACTCACCTTGGCAGGAAGCCCAAGCTCACCCCTCGCCCGTGGGTGAACCAGACCACCCCCTGGGCCCTCCTTGCCACTGCTGAGTGTGGTCCTGGGCTCTGTCCTCCTTCCCTGCTCCCGTGCTCCCTTCTTGCCCGCCACCATCTTGCCTTCCTATCTTTCCATTCTGTCTTTCAGTCAGTGCTGGTTACACATTTCCTTACCGTTGGGCCCTGGCCATTGTGTGGCGCCACAGGTGAACACGGAGCTGGTCCCATGGTCTGGCCTCACTGCTTGGGAAGCATGAGTTTGGGTCCATCTGTGACACACTTGGGCCGATACTGCATCCCCAAGTGTAAAGTAGACAACGGTCGGCTTGACTCCTGGTCAGTGAGTACAATTTGGTCCTAACAACATCTGATTTCTAAATGGGGATGATCTTTAATGGTGGTGTTAAAGATCCATCCCTCCTTCATGCTCCTACACTCTGACACCTGTCAGTCAGCCGAGCTCACTTCTGCTTCTTTTATCTGATCCAAATGTGCCTGTGCTTAGGGAATAGGCTAGTACTCAAAATGTAAATAGGTGTTTTACTCTCCCTCTTAAAGCTATTACTGTGTCGATGGATGTCTCGCTTTGGTTAAGGGTATGTCAGCATTTACATTAAAGAGCCTTATTTTCTAAGGCTTAAAATGCCATTAAAATCTGCTGGACTTCGTTATTGGAATGGCCAAATTATTCAAATTTAGTTTAGAAGCCTATTTAGTTCCTTATTCTTTGGTGGAAGTTCACACACAATGGAAGATTCTAGAAGCTTTGTATTGCTCGTGGGACAAAGCAGTCGGCTCTTTTCACTGGTGCTATCAGTGTCTTCTGTCACTTTGAGTTTTTCTTTACAGTTCCTCATATTCTGGAGGAGGCTGCTGTTAATTTGTATGAGGGTTAAGGTTATGTTAGGGAACTTCCCTCATACTGTAGGCTTGCGACTTTCTGGAGAAAGAAAGGTGGGTGTGGGGAGCGGTTTACTTCCACAGTAGCTCATTTAAACAGCATCATGGTCTTCTGAGGCAGAAACACTCATCCCTCTTTCACAAGTGAGAAAATTGAGGATCTGAAACTTATTCATAATAAGGGAGAGAGGGCCTGCCTTGAAAGCGAAAGGTCCTGAATTTGATCCCCGGTACTACTACTACTACTACTACTGCTACTACTACTACTGCTACTACTAATAATGGATAGAAGTGAGGGTTCCATCTGACCCCGTGTACCTCTCCTGGGTGTATTCCCACAAGACTTAAAATATCACACTACATCGACAGGTGCACACCCAGGTTATAGCCACGCAGCTCACACTAGCTAAGCTCTGGAAACACTTAGAAGTCCATCAGAGGGCTAACAGACAAAGAAAATATTTTGTGTATACACGACAGAGTAATATTCAGCTGGGGAGAAGAAGGAAATCGTGTCATCTGCAGGAAAAATGGGTGGAATTGAGACTCCAACGTTAAGTAAAATAAGTCAGTCGCCAAAGTCACATATCATGTGGTTTCTCCTATTTGAGAAGCCAGAAATATAAATGAATTACAGATTCGAATAAAGGAGAGGTGGTAGGAAACAGGGAGGGTTTTTGGAGAAAGGGGGAGGGTGCAGGGCAGGGGAGAGAGGGGAGGTAGCCAGAAGAGGTGTCTTCGTCCGTTCTTGTTGCTGAGACACAGTATCTGACACCCATAACTTGAGAGAGGAGAGGCTTACTCTGGCGCACACGTTCAGTCCATAGTCACCAGGCCTAAACCCAGAAACCACCTGGCAGAAAGGGCAAGCAGAGCAAAGCTGTTCTGGTCAGGCAGGAAGCAGAGAGAGAAAGGCAGGGCCAGGAGGCAGAGACACCAGGGACTTCATCTCCCAGCTGGGTCCCACCTCCTCACTGCACACTGAACGGTGGCACTGACCAGTGGCCGCATCCACTGACCAGTACAGTGCCCGGGACCCAGTTACCTCCCAAAGGCCCTGCCTCAGAATGCATGAGAATCTCGGGGGACATTTTAGATCTTAACCCTAATGGGAGGTAAAGGGATGGAAAATGATCAGGAAATGACATATATATATAATAATTCCCCCAAACAAAGGTAACTGTTACATACTGCAAACGTATGCGTGATACTATACTTGATCTTAGCCAAAAGGCTGAGAAGTGATGCAAATGTACACTTGAAAAAAGGACTAAGATTCAAGCCCATGACCTCTCACTCTACGAAGATCCTCAAAGATCTTTCAGAGAATTGTGCTAATGGTAAAAGGTCAAGCAAGATGCAAGGTCAACATCAAAGATTTTAAGAGACTTCACTATCTCTAGGAGTTTCGATAGAACTAAATCACTTCCCAGAGGTTGGGTTTACTGTTGGCAACCTGACTTCCCTCTCTCCTCTTCCTCCTATCTTTTCTCCTTTCAACAAATCTCCATTGAGCGTGTACTCTAGTAGCCCCTACTGCCACCACACTTGACCAACTGTATTAACTTCTACTCAGAGAGGTCTCTCACATGATTCTTTCTGCTTAGCAGGGAGTGTCCAGCTCTGCTCAGGTCTCTGAAGCCCAGAGCTCCGAGTTCACCTGAGCAGTGCCAGCTTCAGGCTAACTCATGGGTCGTACCCTCCTTCATGCTCAAAATACCTTTTGGATGATGGCAAACATGGTTCCCCAAAGTCACATCCAGTCCCAGTGGTTCAGCAAGGCTTTCTGTAAGAATCCAACCACTCGTGTTATTAGATTTCTCTAATCTCCTCTTACTGTTTTGCCTCACCTTCCTACCTGGTCAACTAAATGTCCACTTAATGTTGTGCTTTGGATTGACAGTGTCTTTTATTCTGTGTCTTGGAGACTTCTACAGTAGAGCTAGAGCCTGCCTAATACATATTTGCTGAGTTCATAGGCAAATGAATGAAGTGAAAGAAAATCACCCACTGACTCTTATCCCCAAATGCACTATATTCAGGTCTAAGTCTTCTGCTCCCCAAGTGCCTGATGTAGGGGTATTTTCTCCCAGAGATTTTCTATTATTCTCCCGAGTTAGTTGGTTCACTCTGTCTTTATCTCTCTGGGTGCTCATCTCAAGGCATGACTTAAAAAATTGCAAATATATTTGTTTGGGAATCCCTCCAAGGGCCTGGCTCTTGACGGTGTTCGAGTGTAAAATGACTATGTGAAGGCAGCTTTCTGTGAGGCATCCTCCTTCACCATGCCTTCCTAATGAGCAGGGCACCTCGGGGAACTTTCAGTCTAAGGCAGACTGAGGCAGTATTCAATTTACTGTAACAATCATTTTAAATGACAATAATTTCATTAAAACGTTGACTGAAAACCCTGGCAGGTAGTAAACTACACTAATTATTTCATTCAGAGGTGCTGGCTCAAGATGTGCATTCTAATATTATCTTCCTTTTCCAGAATCAGGTGCAGATTTGTTGAGTGTCTCTGTCATTTGGGTACGGGGTAAGTAGTTTGGTGGCTGAAGTGGAGGACTGCAAAGCAGCCAGATACACGAGCGGGGAGCATGGACTCTGAAATGAGACATGTGTTCCTGTTATCTGCTGCTGCCTAACAAATCATCCTCGGGCTGTGCAGCTTCATACAGCATCCATGTGTCGCCTGGCAGAGTTTGTGGGCTGGGAATTTGGCTGTGATTTAGCTGGGTGTCTCTATTCAGGGTGTCTCGCAGGTGCAATGGAGGTGCACCAGGAATGCTGCCACCTGAAGCCTGGACTGGGAGAATCCTTATCCAAGCCTACTTATCTGAATGTTGGAAGAGGCAGTTCTTCAAAGACTCGATGGAGTGATGGCTGCAGGTTCTCACTGGCTTTCGACAGATGCCAGACAGAGAAGTTCCCTATGGTCACTTGGTTCCTTCATTATGATGGGGAGAGAGAGAGGGAGAGAGAGAGAGAGAGAGAGAGAGAGAGAGAGTTTGAGGCTGACGATGGAAGCCACAGTCTTTTTGTAATCCAGTATTGGCAGTGACAGCCACTGCTTCTTTCTGTGGTATTGTGTATGAGAAGCAAGCCTTTAAGTCCAGCTCTGGTTGAAGTTGGCTGCTGCGGTTGGTGTGGACTCTGGGAGCCAGGGTCACTGGGCCATCCTCGAGGCCATGAACTACAATTCTCCTGGATCAAGTCCTGATTCTTCCTTTGTCTCCATGTGTGTACAGCTCTTCTGAGAATCAGATTCCTCACCTGTCAAGCAATGTCTACTTTACAGGGTGCTCCATTGGATGGAAATAATCTCTGCAAAACACACGGAGGGGTACAGCGATGAGAACCCGTGCCATTGTGCTAGAGTTAACGACAGTGAATACTGGGCTCTTGATTCCCACTCCAGCACTCAAAGGAACCAAGCTCCCCGTGGACCCAGGGCCTTCTGTCGGCTACGTGACCATCATTCCAAACTTACCTGAGTTTGAATTGCTTCCTGGCTGTGAGTAAGTTCTTCTGTGTTATCTTCTCTTGGTGACTTGCGGCGCTTGGGTCATTGATGTCATTGTGTCCAACAGTGGCATCGGCCACACACTGGGGGAATCCGTTAATTTCTGGTCACATCTCTCACATGTCCCCTAACCACCCACTGTCTCAGTCCTCCCTCCTCCCAGGCTGCTGGAATTCATAGCTTCTGATAACTGCTGCTTCTGCAGAGCAGCCTTCCCACCAGCCAGGGGCAAATGCTAAGAGGCGGGGTCCAAGCCCCTGACAAATATAAGAAATACTTGCGTGAGTAACGCGTGGCTCGGCTGAGCGGGCACCCTCATCCCCAAGCAAACACCACGGTGGCTCCTCCTGGCCCCATGCACGCTGCCCCACACCCTGCACTCTGCCGAGTGGTGTCTGCAAACACAGACCAGACTGGCGAGTCCTCCTCGAATCTGCTTTTGGGCTCCTTCAGCCGAGGGATGCTCTGGGCATGGCCACAGAGCTGTGGTGATGAACCAGAGCAGATGTGGTCTCTGCACTTCTGGGAGGCGACAGACACTGGATAATCACCTCTGTGTGGCAGCACCTCCTGCGGGTGCTCAGCAGGGTGTTCTGAGATCATAGGTGTGGAAGGTCTTGGGGTCAGGGAAGCCCCGGCCACCATGGAGGAGAGCTGGAGAAGGGCAGCAGGGGCAGAGGGCGGGGGCTCGAAGGTGGGAGGGGAGTAACACTGCTGTGGACTGGCTTGCGGGTCAGTAAATACCCACTCCCTGCCTGGCCGCAGACCCAGCTTACTTGCCATCCCCTTGCCCTTGGCCTTGGCCATGCACTGGAGTGGTCTCCGGGTCCCTGTGAGTCCTCCTCTAATCCACAGGCCATGGCGTCCCCTAAGGAGTTCTTTAATGAGGGAATGAGCGATTCTGTTGCCCCTTGCTATCAGTGGTCACGGAGCACCTCACTAATGCTGTCTGTGCTCGGCTTCTTCATCCGTCAGGGAGGGACCCCGAGTGTCCACCTCCCGGGTGTGGGGGTCACAGGGCTCAGAACCCTTGAGCAGCGTAGGCATCCACAATGGCAGCCATTGTAAATGCACTTAGCACTTTGATAATGACCTTTACTCTCCTGGGCCATATCGTGAGTTCCTTTCTATGAGAGGCTGCATGGAGTCTGGATCCTTTATTCCTTCAGGAATTTCACAAGTGCGTGCTGTGTGTAGTTTCTGTTCTGGGACATGAGAGCTGTAGTGGTAACAGAGCATATTTTGTCTTCCAGGAGTTTGACCGTCAGGCAGTAAACACTTGAATCTTCTCCTTCCTCCTGTGCCTTTTGGCATAACTAAGCTGGATGATATTTTCCTGAGCTGGGATCCCAAGTGTGTTCTGGGAACCCCCGGAAGCTTTGGGATCAGATTCCAGATGCTGGAAGACTCCATCTCAGGCTCACTCAACTGGCCATGGCCTGGGTTCCCTCAGACAAATGTGCCAAATCCTGACAAGGGGCCTGGTCTCTGATGTGTTGGTCAGATTCCTTCCTTCCTTCCTCCCATCTCCTTCCTCCCTCCCTCCCTCCCTCCCCCCCTTCTTTCCTCCTTTCCTTCCTTCCTTTCCTTCTCTAATGGGGATTGAACCCAGGACCTTCACACTGAGCTGTATTCCAGGCTGTGCTAATTTGTGCTCTAACTCCTGCCTCACCTCTCAGAGTACAGGGATCACAGGTGTGTGCCCCTGGGCCCAGCTGGTATGTTTTCTGGACCCTCAGTTTCCTGGGCAGCACAGAATCCTTCCTAAGACAGATGGAGCATGAGACTCCGCTAGAGGACCCAGCACAGCACTGAGAAGTGGGCTCCAGGGCCCTGAGCCTTTCTGTCCACCCCTCCTAACTGGCGGGAGTCCACTGTGCAGAGGGAGGTGGGAAGGTGAAGCAGGACAGGAGTTTCTACAAGGCCTGGAACATGGAAGGATTTGAAGGATTGCTTATCAAAGGGCAAATACATGGACAAGGAAACGAATGAACCACACAGCGACAGCAGGGGAAACGTGGCATGGGAGAGACCTGAACCCTTGGTCTCTGCCTGGAGCTGGGCCTGCAGCCTTTCCAGACCCGAGACCCCCTCTCCCATGGCGAGTGTCTCACCTGCCTCCATGGGGGATCTGAAAAATCGGAAACTATCTTACTCACACCTATGCATGTCACTTCTCCACTTGAAGTCGAACATGACTCCTCATTTACATATAATTCATTTGACTCGTGTAAACTGCATTAACAAAAAGAGGAGCAATGCGATAAATTACTAGTGACAGAGGCCAGGCTGGATCGCAATTATTTTTATAAGCCCCTGGTAAGCAGTGATGTTCTGTTTTTACAGCGCATAATGTCCTGGCGTTATTGAAATGCTGGCAGCATTCACCGAGCACGTTCGTGTTAACCAGACACACAGGTAGGGACTCTGTGGGAAGGTACGGTGGCTGGAGAGGCTCAGTTCTGCCCCTGGCCCTAAAGTCACGGGCTGGTGGGGTCTCCACGGGGTCCTCCCTCTAGGAGCGAGGCGGGTAGAAAATGTGCTTGTAGGGTGCATAGCTAGGCGGACTTGGGTTGTCATCTTCCTAGGCCTCTTTACCTCATCTGACACCCCAGGTCTCCGCCTATCAAGTGGGATAATAACATAATCAACGCTCCCGCGTGGCATGGAGGGAGGGGAGGTGATCCCAGACCATCCACACCAGTAACTACACAAGCTAATATTCCTGGACCACGTGCATGGGCTTGCATCCATTATGTTAGTTTACTTGCTCTTGTGGAGCAGATTTCATCAGGGCGATGGCAGAGATTTTATGGTAACAAGACTGAGAGGTAAGAAAGGGGAAATCATTTGCTCGATATTTCACAGAGAAAGCAAGACTCGAACCCATGGCTCTCTGAAGTCAGAGATGAAACTTTGGCCATTAGGTTGTCCTGTCTCATTCAGAAGCTACACACCTGCCAAAGTGAAGGGAGAGCTGGGATTCTAGGTTCGGCCTTGGGAAATAGCTCTCAGGACTGTGGCACGCTGGCCCTAGCTCCCCTAAATGACATAGTTCTCTTCACACTGTTAATCAGCCCCCTCTGACCCAGCATATACATGCACGGAGGGTGGGGTTGTATTTTTTGGTGAACCTGAATAGCGCAAATCTGAAGTCATGATATATAATGCATTAATACCCACAGTTTATGCACAGATTTTGTACTAATGCCAACCGTACTTTACATTTCCTCCTCCAGAGAATTAATCTTGAATTGTGCTAGTTTTGAATTACTTGAGGCCTTCGGGCATAAGCACGCATCCCTTGCAAGAGAATTAATCACCCTATAAATGACTTACCCCTCCTCTCAGGGCTTCGAGGTCCAGGCTGAAAGCAAGAATACAAATGAAGAGACTCAACCAGCCTGGCAGCACCTGATTTCCTGTCCCTGTGCCCCTGGCCTAAGCGACGGAATCTCCCTGAGCCCTGACTCCCCATATAACTCTGCTCCTATCCCTGAGTTATGGACTCTCCTGGGCTCCTGGGTCAGGTCAAACACCCCAAAGTTTAATTCAGCTCCCAAATGTTGCTGCTACTGCAGGGCAGCACGCCCCCTCCCCCAACTGTCTCTGCTTTCTGGAGGTGGGGTGCAGGTCAAGAGCACTAGGACCATGTTGTCCCCATCCTAGCCCCTCCCCCCCCATAAGTGCAAAGTGGAATAAACACTTTTCTTTTCAGTACTGGGTATTGAACCCAGGTCTTTGCACAGAGCGACATCCTAACCCCCCTTTCTAAAATTTTGAGATAGAATCTTGCTAAGTCACAAAGTTGCCCAGGGTCAGTTCAAACTTTTCATCTTCCTGTTTCAGCCTCCCAGAGTGCTGAGATTATAGACATGGACCCCACGCAGGGCAACAAACACCTATTCTTACTTTTTTTAAAGTTGGAAACACGTTTATGAAAACTTTCAAAAAGAAAACTTTCAAAAAGTACCACCTTGGGTCCCCTGGTTACTTCAGCGACCCCCCCCCCCCCAATTTGTGACTCTGGTCTGATCTTTATCTCCTCCTTCTCCCCCAACACCCTCAGAACTCAGGGGGATGATCCTTCACCTGCAGAATCCACTTTCCTTTCTCCTGCTGCTCAGTTGCTCTCCTTCTTTGTAATCCACTGCAGGGGAAAGGACAGGACGCAGAGGCAGGAAATGCTTCCATGTATTTCACAGACAGCGTTGTCAGAAAAGTGCCCTGGTGGGTGCGTCCACTTCCTGGCAGGAAGTTAACACCCCAAGGAGCAGCCTGGTCACTGCGTGAGTAGTGTGTCGGATGTCAGCGTGAGCCAGGTTGGTAGGACTTCTCTCTGCTGTCCTCTGCCCACCCAGGATTGTTATGCTATGGGATACCCATCCACTGTAGGGCTTACACGACAGAAATTGCAGAAGCTCTCTGACTTAAAATATTGTTAAGTTGAACATGCACTTAATACCTGAAACTATGGAACATTCTAGTGCAGGACTGCAGTAAACTGCAGGGTCGATTGTTCCCCTTTGTGATCATGGGGCTGCCTGGGAGCTGCATTCTCTGCTGCTGTTCCACATCACTGGAGATTGTTGGACAGTACAGCCTAGACCAGCAAAGGCCAAAAGTCATGACACCAGGTATGACTTCTACTGAATGCTGTCACTTTCACTCCATTTTAAAGTAAAAAATTATCAATCAAACCTTCATAAGTGAGGGACCCTCTGTGTTTCCTTCCATGCTGGAGGCTGCAAGTCTGAGATCTGAGTGTGAGATCTGGCTGGAAGCCTGAGTGTTGGTTTCTCTGAGCCTCTCACCTTGGCGTGGTGATGGCCAATCCTCCCTGTGTTTTCACAGGGCTCCTTGTGAATGTCTGCAGCCCAGGATCCCCTCTTTCCAAGGACTCTGTCATGGGACTACAGCTCACCCTAAGACTTTGTTTTCACTTAATTCCCTTTCTAAGAGTTCCATCTCTCCCTGGAGTGGCATGCTGAAGCACTGGAGGAGTCAGGACTTGAACATATGGATCTGGGGGATTCGCTTCAGCCCACATCCTACCCTGGGTTCCTGCAAATTCATGTCCTTTTTGCACGAAGAATACATCCATCCATTCTGAACATTGTTCAAGGTCTGAATCCAAGCCGGGTCTCAGGTAAATTTCAGAGTCCTCTGATCAGGAATGGGTGAGCCCCGGGCTCTGATCTGTCCTGAGATGCGATTCCTCTCCCACTGTGACCCTGGGAAACCAGGTGAGTCCCGTGTCCCCAGACACGGTGGCAGCATGGGCTGGACATCCCAGTCCTGGGAGGGTCAGGAAGGAAAAGATGTGACAGGCCCGAGACATCCAAGACTAGCAGGGCAAATCCACCACGTTGTGAGGCTCAGAAACACTTCGTCCCCATGATCTTTGCTCTGGGTACACTTGGATCACCCAGGTCCCCCAAAAAGGGGTCATTTCCCCCAGCAGCCCAGCAAGTACGCACAGTTACCTGATAAAACTCACAATGACACTTCCTGTCCATCCATTGGCTCATCAATCCTTACCATAGCCCTATGAGAGAGAAAAGCATGGTGATTATCTCTAGTTGGGAAAAAAAGAAAGACACAGAGAGGTCAAGCTCCTTGCCCATGACTTACTGAAAAGTATTACTGGAATTGGAACCCAGGCATGCTGACCCCAGGGCCTTTGCACGCCCTAGCAGCCTGGGTGAGGTTGCTGCTCCCCAGTGTCCCACAATCCCTGACTTGCTGGGTCAGCTCTGGGGTTTATTTACTTACATGTTTATGTATTTACATGTTTACCCCTCCAGTCCTTAGAGTTCGATGGGATACCTCTTCATATCCCTGTAGCTAGGACAATCTCTATGTGATAAGTATTTCCTGATAATGAGTGGGGGTGGGGGACTGTGAACCAGAACAGATGAACCAGTTTCAACTCTGCCTGACTTTAGAGAAGTCCTGAGTGGCGGAGCCCCTGTGCTCTCAGCCCCTCTGTCTGATCCGAACAGGGCTCCTTTCTTTGGCTAGCAGGCAGGGGCTCCCCTCACCTTCGCCAATAATTAGGGTCCATAAGTGGAATCTACTTAAGAAATAACCCGAATGCTGTGTACACCATTTGTAAGTGTCCGGTGCTCAGTGCCAACGCACAGAGCTGAAATAAATGATTTTCCTAAAAGAGATTCTTAATGTTCATTCCGCCGATAGAAACTCTTAATTCCCGTTCCATTTGTCAGCATATTATGACTGGAAGCTGTCAGGTTCTAATGACTAAAATTTCATTTTTCAGACTTTTCACTCTGTGTTTGAGAACTATAAGTTGGAAATAATTCTGCAGCTAAGTTTCTTCCTTATCTGGTAAATTCAGCCACTTCTTTCCTTGCCCCTTTGGGTGTGTGTGTGTGTGTGTGTGTGTGTGTCCAAGCCCACATTAATACCTCAGATAGGCTAACCTCATGCTTCACCCAATAAGCAAGGTGGAGAAACTACTGTGATATTTTCCTCCCGAAGCTACTGTCCATGTTATGGGACTCAATGTGTTACGGCAGCTGACAGATTCAATGCAAAATTACTTTTATTTGGCAGTGGAGATCAAAACATGGATTATTTTATTTTAGGTAAAGGACGTTAGCACATTTTTTTTAAAAAAGTGAAATATGCTGCGTACCCCTTTCTGTGGATAAACAACCTTGAGATTGGCTGTAGCTTGCTTTATTATTCCTGGATCGGAATTTGTTGACATGATATTCAATACATAGAAATATTGCAGTCATGATCACTTACCTCAGATACTATACCAAGCAGGGGTTATTGATCCTTGGTTATTACACTTGTGTCTGAAATGCTATGTGAGGAGCAGGGAAACCAACTTCCAGTTGAAATTGTTAATAGATTGGTGGCAAAATTTATGTTATCCATGTCCAACAAATCACTAATAAAAGCTTATGAAAGGCCAGATCATCTGCATCGAATTACTCATTCTTTCCTCCATAAAAAGCCCTTCACTAAGGACTGACCAAAGAATTTTAAATTGCTTATTACCCATAAGTGATTGTTCAAAGTGTCCCTAAATGGGATTAAAACACCCTCACTCACTCTCCTACAGTGTCTGTCCCCTTCTCCTCCCACCTTGGCTCGAATTAAGGCTCATCATATGTTTCCAGGGAAGAGGAGGGGAGAGATTTTCCTTGAATGACTTTCCAAGATCTAGCATCTGATCTGTGACGGGAAAACCTTCCAGTGCCTGGAGGCTGCCCCTCCTTGTCAGAGTGGCTGGTACGAGTTGGCCTCCTGGACATTGTGACCATGTTGGCAGCTCCAAGGCCATGGGAGCTCTGAGTGGAGGATGCTGGGCACAAACAGCTATGCACCACCTGGGTGACCTCCCACCTTTTTCTGCAGCAGGGCAAGGCTGGGGGATGCCTAAGGGCAGGGCCCTGCTGCAGCTCATTCCTCTCTCTCAAGCACTTTCTGCCTCCTCCTTTTACTTCCTTCTCTTTGTTTTTATTCGTGAGCATTTACAAATACTTGTTACCAGCACCCATTTGCAGTACATCATGATCACATCCCTTAAGCCGAGCTGCGACAGTGTGCACATCTTCATTCTTTTTAACACCCTCCCAACCTCGCCTTTTCTCCATCTCATGGTCACCTTACTCTTTGCAAAACTCTACCTCCCTGTTTCCTATTACACTTCTTAAACCTACCCATAAGCATTTATGGAGTGCCCACCATGCACCAGGCTCAGAGCCAGGCCTGGGACCCGCCCAGCCGGCTGAGGGCTCGTGAGACCCACCCTGTGCAGACACCCCAGCTGCAGGAGTCCTGGGTCGGGGAGTGCTGCACAGGGAGGATGAGATGAGCGACTGTGCACGGACCTTACCCGTGTCACCATTCCTTAGGCAGTAATGTGGAACCACTGTTATACAGCACTGAGTATTGCAGGGGAGGATGTGCTAGGTCACAGGCAAATACTGTGCCATTTCTATGAGAAATGTGACACTCAGGGCTGTGGGAATCTCCTGCAGGGGCTCCCTGGAACCAGCCCCATGCAGACATGGAGGAAAGACCGAGTCACTTTTACAAAAATTGGTGCTTGCTGTCAGTGAATATGTACCCACTCACACGCACACACACACACATACACACACACATACATCGTCATCTTTTTCTTTCAGTAATCAACACATTATTAAGATTTTTCTTATGCTATTAAATGTTTTGCAGACAAAATGTTTTTTTGCAGATCACTTCGTGTCATTATGTGGACCTAAGCTTACCCTCATTATCAGACATTTTCATTATTTCCATTTGTTTACACATTCTACAGTCAACATTCTTGTCAATATGTTTTTATCTGAATATTTGATTCTTTCTTGTGAATACCTTTGCAGAAGTGAACTTAGGGAAAAAATGGATAAATGTTTTAAGCTTCTTGGACATATTACCTCTGGGGGTTTAATTATTTTTCTTTGATCAGGTGCCATTTCTGCTGTTTGCTGGGATGTGCCATGGCTGTGAGCTGCAGGGGATTTTCCTTAGTGGGGTGCAGACTAGTTCCCCCATTGTGGCCTGGACATTCCTGTCCCAAGCAATGTGGGGCAAAACCACTAACTCTGTTGTTTTAGTTATTTACTTTAAATTACTAATAACAACGAGTGTCATTTTCTTACTTTGTCATTTATATTCTTTTTAAAGTTTACCCTTCTTTTCTTTTGAGATATTTGGTGTGTGTGTGTGCACATTTAGTTTGTTCACTACCTTTATGTCTAAGAGTTGTCAGTGTTGTTTCAGATATATTTGTAGCAAATATTCTTTGGGGTTTTATTTTAATTTTATTTATGATGATAAGCAATAGAGAAAATTTTAAAGTTTTATCAGGTGAAGTGTAGTGAGAACACTTGTTATGAACTCTTGCTTTAGTCAGTTTGGGCAGATGTAACAAAATATCATAGGCTTTGTGTTATATAAATAAAAGAAATTTATTGCTTACAGTTCTGGAGACTGGGAAGTCCAAGGTCAATGCCCTGGGTGGTTTGGTGTCCTCTGGTCCATTTCCGCCCACCCTGTCTCCTTGCTCTGTTCTCATGTGGTGGAAAAGTGAGGGGCCTTTCAGGACAGGGTTCCCCTAGGTGACCATTGGTCTCCAACCCAGAACTTGCTCCCTGCCTCCTGGTACCAGCCTCTTGGGGAGGACTTGGCATAACTCAGCCATTCAGACCAGAGCTGATTTGCCTTGACTTTCATGTTTAGAGAATCTTTTTATTCTCCCAGGATTCATTTTGGGATCCGTTTGTGTTTCCTACAAGTCTTTC